AGAGTGGCCGATATATCGTACAAATTCGTACGATTGGACGTTAAAGGGTTAAATTTTTAATACAAATGTACATCACATATATAAGGAGTAGCAACACTTATCTAGAGCAAAATGAATTCTAGTAGTCTGTACAACGTACTGTTACTGAAGGTTCGTACCAAGTATTAAATATACTTTAATTTGTAAGTTTTACTGCAGATCTACATAATAATAAAACAAAACATTTTCAAAAGCCAATTACACAGAGATTGTTACCTAATCATACCTTATCTATATACAAAATATGAATAGATTTGATTTTTCAAGCCTGCGTAAAGTGGCTCTTTTTTTCTTTTTTTTTAACTTTTGGAAGTAATGTTTAAAGGCCGACAATGAGGACTTGACGGGGTTTCAAAGTCCGCRCAATTAGTTCCAGTCCGAGGCGCTAGCCGAGGACGGAACTAATTGCAAGGACTTTGAAATCCCGTCAAGTCCGAATTGGAGGCCTTTGAACGACTTCAAAAACTCATTAATTATTCGGGAGGGRAAAAAAGCGAAGGAAATACATATAACAGAAATATATTGATTTATTGCATCTCCACTAAGGTTTTCAGTTTTCATAATTTTGAATACATGAAGCACCGTTTGTAGTTCTTCAATTCCCTGACRGCTTTCTGAAACAAAAGCTATTCAAGTTGTCTTTGTCTGCTATTCATGGCATTCCCAATGAGTCTAATCCATAAGATTTATAAGTATGTTATCTTCCGAGGAATTGCATCAGAAACTCGGTGGTGTAATGGTATAAGATGGTGCATATATACTGGATGGATGGGGATCGAGTCGTGAGGGAGTCATGTATCAAAAGACCTTTTTTCACTAAATTAATGTTAAACTGATTATTTCTARTAATCTTTATATGTAGTGTTTGGGCACCCTGTGCCGTATTTCCTGTGTTGTRTGACAACGAACAAAATGGCATCATTAAAGCTGTTAAGCTCGTTCACAATCCGTTATTTATACTGAGTAAACTAGACCATCCAGCGATAATATTACGTGGTGTCAGAAGTTAGTTTACTAAAGATCGAAGCCACATCAAGAATATTTTCGAAATATTTCTAGATTTTGATKGGGAATATGCCAGAAACCTCAAGTTCCTACTGTTCCCTCGAGTTCATAAACTAACACAACATATATCTGCCTAGACGGGTCCAGGCTCAAATCTCCACACTTTAATCACACAATCATGAGCATCGTCTACAATCATGATACAATTAGCATTGAGCACAGTAAATCACTCTGTAATACAACCATCAAAAATTCTAAAGTTCAAAAGTCAATCAAAGCTAATGGACCACACTGATTACACAATCCCTTGACACACATTATATACAACTCATTAGCATCTCTAAGTTCAAAAGTTTGTCAAGTTCATCGTTGCAAAGTTCTTCATATCAAATCCAGCCACCGGGAGAGTTTGATTTCACTCATCCTGAACAGTGGACCAAGTGAATTCAAATATTCGAAAGATTYCGTTTAGCCTTGGGGCTAAAAGCAAGAGATGGGAAGAGACACAAGTGAGTACCCTTTTATGCTCAATGGGGGAAAAAAGCTATCATGTCAACATTTGACTTGTCTGAAGAAAACCAAAAGAAGTTCGACCAAGTGAAAGCGAAGTTTGAAAACCACTTCATAAAATGCAGAAACACGATCTTCGAAAGAGCAAAATTCAACACTCGAAAACWAGAAGCCRGAGAGTCRGTTGATGCTTTCATTACGGATCTCTATTGTCTTGCAAAACACTGTAGCTATGGTCTCCTTCACGATGAGATGATCAGAGATCGCATTATCGTTGGTTTACTGGACTCTCGTCTTTCAGAGAAACTTCAGTTGAATCCAGAATTGACTCTAGAGCAGGCAGTCAACACGACCAGGCAGAGTGAATTCGTCAAGAAGCAACAGTCGGTGGTCAGAGGTACTGATGRGTCAACAGTCACACCAAAGATAGTGGAAGCAATACACAAGGGTGGTCAAGTAAAAGAGAAAAGTCCTAAACAAGCCAAAAGCAWACCAGAAACCACACAAGGCTCAACACAAGGCCCAAAGAAATGTGGTCGGTGTGGAAAGTATCCAGGCCATGCTCGTTCTATGTGTCCAGCTAAGGATGCGAAATGTCTCAAATGTAAGAAAAAGGGACACTACAAAGCCATGTGTAGATCCGGAGGAGCCGATGTAGATGCCCTTGAGGACATCGACGACAGTGATACATTCCTCKGCGTGATCAGTTCAACTGAGATAAACAACATTGGAACAGATCCTTGGAAGATCCCAATAGCAGTAAACGGTACTAAAGTTTTATTCAAAGTTGATACTGGGGCCGATGTCACTGTTATACCTGAGTCAGAAGTTAAGAAGCTGAATGTCACTGTGAAAGAAACAAACAAAGTCTTAACAGGGCCACGCAAAAGTCAACTGAATGTCAGTGGCTCTTTCCTCGCGAAACTCACAACTGGAAACAAGTCWGCGGAGCAGGTGATCTATGTAGTCAAGGGACTGAGAATTCCGCTGCTTGGTAGACCAGGAATAGAGGCACTCAATATCGTATCAGTCGTCCAACAAGTATCAACAGACCAAGACCAAGTATCAAGACCTGTATGAGAAGTTACCGCAAGTATTCAAAGGTCTATGGTAAACTGGGTGGTGAATATCATATCGATCTGAAGCAAGATGCAAAGCCATATGCAGTTACGACGCCRAGAAGGGTTGCTCTTTCCCTAATGGACAAAGTAAAAGAAGAATTGGATAGAATGGAGAGCGAGGGAGTGATCGAAAGAATCGACAAGCCCACCGACTGGTGCGCTCCTATGGTAGTAGTGCCAAAACAAAATGGCAAGGTTCGCATTTGTGTCGATTTCACTAAGCTAAATGACTGTGTGCAAAGGGAGCGACACATCCTTCCCTCCGTCGAACACGTTCTTGCTCAATTGGATGGAGGTAAAGTCTTCACCAAGCTGGATGCCAATTYAGGGTTYTACCAGATCCAACTTTCAAAGCAGTCTRCTGAGCTAACCAAGTTCATGACACCGTATGGTCGRTTCTACTTCAACAGACTTCCATTTGGAATCACGTCTGCCCCCGAGTACTTTCAGAAAAGGATGTCAGAGAAGCTCAGTGGTTTGAAAGGAACTTTATGCATGATCGACGACATCCTGATTACGGGAAAGACGCAAGAGGAACATGATCAACGTTTGATGGCAACACTAGAGAGAATCAAGGAAGATGGAGTAACACTCAACAAAGAGAAGTGTGAGTTTTCCAAAGAGAAGGTTACCTACCTTGGCGAASTTATCAGCTCGTCGGGAATTTAGCCAGACCCTGACAAGGTTAGAGCGATACTTGAATTGAAAGAACCTACGAACATCAGCGAAGTTCGACAGTTCCTTGGTATGGCCAATCAACTGGGAAAATTTTCCAGCAATCTGTCTGACCTGGCAAAGCCTCTACGTGACTTGCTAAGCACCAAAAAGCAACTGGCACTGGGGAACAGCACAAGCAAAAGCGTTCTCTGACGTGAAAAGGGAGCTGAGCAACCCAGATGCCATACTAGCCTACCTTGATGCTAATCGAGAGACCATCATAGCAGCCGATGCATCCTCATTTGGCCTAGGCGCGGTCCTTCTCCAAAAGCACCCTGACACCCATTGGCRRCCARTCGYATTCCATTCAAGGCCCTTAACAGAAACCGAGCAGCGACATGCCCAGATCGAAAAGGAAGCTCTCGCAGCAACCTGGGCTTGTACCTGGTTGGAAGCAGTTTACAATTCAAACTGACCACAAGCCTCTAGTACCACTGCTGGGGTCAAAGGACATAGACAGTCTGCCGCCTCGCGTCCAGAGATTTCGAATGCGCCTCATGCGATTCCACTATAGCATTGTGCATGTGCCAGGAAAGAAGTTATCGACTGCTGATGCACTGTCACGTGCGCCTCTGAATGATGTTACAGCCGAAAATGTTCATCTCTTCGTTAACCAAGTGGTCGATGGTCTGCCAGCTACTGATGTACGTCGAGAGGAGATCCGTAAACATCAAGAAGAAGATGAAATCTGCTKCCAAATAAAACAGTTCTGCCAGGAAGGATGGCCAGAACGGGTGAAGGGTCGACTGAGAATGTACCAGCCACATTCAGCAGAGTTTACAGTATAGTGTGGTCTACTCCTAAAAGGTTGCCAGCTAGTCATTCCCTTAGCATTGAGAGGTGAGATSCTAGACCGGATTCATTCTGRTCAYCAAGGAATCACRAAATGYCRTGMRCGAGCTCGTCAAGCAGTGTGGTGGCCAGGTATGAGCAGAGAAATAGACGAAATGGTAAGGAACTGTGCAACATGTGCTAAGAAGAGTCAGCGTCCAGCAGAGCCAATGAAATCATCTAGCCTACCAGAGTACCCTTGGCAGAAAGTTGCCACTGATCTGATGCAGTACAAGAATAATATGTATCTTTTGGTAAWCGACTATTACTCTAGATACATTGAGATTGCTAAGCTGACAGTTACCACATCGAAGGCAATCATAAACCATCTGAAATCCATCTTCAGCAGGCATGGAATTCCAGAACGCTTGATATCGGACAAAGGTCCCCAGTATTCTTCAGGAGAGTTTATTGAGTTCTCAAGATTGTATGGTTTCGACCATGTCACTAGTAGCCCACTCTATCCACAAGCAAATGGAGAAGTGGAGAAAGCAGTTTCTACAGCAAAGAGCCTCATCGGCAAGTCAGATGATCCATACCTTGCTATGCTTTCGTATCTATCAACCCCCCTAGAACACGGTTACAGCCCTACTGAACTGTTAATGTGAAGAAAGTTACGCACCACTCTACCAATGCCAAAGTCTGAGATGAAACCAAAGCTACCTGATTGGTCTACCTTCAAGCTCAAAGATCAAGCCATTAAAGACCGTCAGACTAGGAACTTTGATAGTCGACATGKAGTACGCGAGCTACCCCCACTAAGTCAAGGTGATCCAGTCTGGATCACAGATCAGAAGACCGAAGGTATAGTAAACAAAGAAACAGCAGAGCGCAGCTACCAAGTTAATACTCCAAAAGGATTGAGGACTTATCAGCCTCGTGCAGATAAGTAAAACGGCCTTCGGGGCTTCAACTTATCTGCCCTCGGCTTCGGGGACATTTAATCCCTAATCTCCCTCAGAGCCATGCTATTACTTATAATAAACTAGACCATCCGGCGATAATATYACAATAGACATTTTACAAAGAGAGTAAATGCTGATATAGTAGATGCATCCTTGTTTTGGCTACATGGATGTCACCTTAATTATGACCTGCCCAATGGGCCTCTTCTTAAAAAGCATGGATTGAATTGTGGTCTAGATTCATTACAAACATCCTCCTGTGGCAAGTATAGTCTGTGTTGTTTGTACTAGCTAGACCACAACGCACAATACTTTAGTGTAACAGGAAAGGTCTAACAAAAGCTGAATTAGACGGAACAACTTTTGCCTGCAACTKTTGCATGAAACCTGGTAAAGTTATCCTTACAACATAGATACAACTATAGTGGAGATTTTAAACAATTGCTTAATAGCCCTATGATATAGTTRTCATGTTGTAATGATGACTTAGCAGGTATAAAAATGTTGCTTCATCTAATTTTGCCTTGTAGAGAATGAAGGAAATATTTGATACAAATTTACTATAAAATTATTATTTTGTATTAAAATYTTTTTATGACTTCAGCTTTTGGGTTCCAAACCCATCAAGCAAGGAAACAGCAGGAAAATAATATATGCTTAGTTTCTGCAACACCTGTCACAAGTATTGAAGCCAATTCAACAGGTAATGCACACAAAATGGAGGTGGCTTCAAGAACATGAGTTTGCATTTGAGAAAGTGAAAGAGGTTGTCACCACAGTACCACTACAACCCAGAAGAGGAACTTACTGTGCAATGCGATGCCAGTGAAAAAAGGTTGTGTCTAAAGAGGGAAAGTTAATGCCATTCGACGTCACTTCAGCGTCAAATACAATCGAACAACGTAAATCGTAATCGTAAATTGGAAATATTTACAAAGCTAGGAGGCGAAATTCAAGCTTTGATCGAACATCTATTTCACCTCCACGCAGCATGAATAATTCGACCTTGAACGTTTCTGGTCACTCAAGTCAATGGGTATCACACCTCCTGTTGAACCCATGGGTCAATCCTTCTTGAGAAACCAAGCCACTTCGATCACCCGAGAYGAACATGGTGCATATATTGCAGAATTTCCATGGAAGGAAGACCATCCACCTCTACCCACTAATCTGTCCATATGTGATGAGAAGCTTACAAGAGCCACAGGCCGCCGACTGCATCAGAATCAAGACCTACTTCAGTGTTACAACGATATCATCAAGGATCAAGAAGACTGAGGATTCATTGAGAAGGTTGGAAACCCACACCCATCTGACCATGCGCACTACATTCCTCATTATCCTGTAAAGAAAATCTCGTCCACAACGCCTAACAGAATTACCACCAGGCTCCCCAACTTCCCAAGTCTGAATGATTGTCTCCAAGTTGGCTCACCCTTTCTGCCAGACATTGGTACTGTACTCGTGCGTTTCCGCAGTCACCCCATTGGCATCGCAACAGACACGTGGSACTTGACAAGCGCGACCACGCCATGACACGCTTCCTTTGGTTGTCTGACCCTGAAGACCCTGAAAGTGAGTTTCAGGCCTACCGTTTCAAGTCTGTCCTCTTTGGCTCAGCAAGCTCACCCTTCATGCTGAATCTTGAGTCCATTGACACACCAGTCGTACAAGATATGATGAAATGATGAAGAATCTATGTAGTTAACATTATAACCGGCTGTGATACAGATGAAGTAAAGTACTTCAACGAGTCAAGAAGAGTTATGACCGATGCCAGTTTCAATCTACGATCATGGGCGTCAAACAGTGTAGTCCTSCGAGAACAGGCCTCTAACGAAGCAATACTTGACACGGGTGGTGACAAAGTAAATACACTTGGCCTTTGATGGACCACGACTATGGACACCCTGTCATTACCACAAAAAGAGTCACTGYAGCAATTTGTCCGCAACAGAGTGCAAGAGATAACACAACTCTTCCCGCCCAGTCACAATGCTCCAATCACAGAGGCAGCTACGTTTCCAATACTACTACAGAAGGATTTCTACCCTCATCATCAATGACATATAAATACGACAAAGGTTCTGGATTCCCGCTGGAAGGTACCACGTAAAGAAGACCTTGAACAAATGTGTGACATGCAAGGAAGTTGCTGGTTTCCCGTACCAAGTTCCTGACGCACCGCCGCTTACGAAGTTGCGACTCCAAGAGTCCCAACCATTTGTGGTTACTGGAGTAGATTATACAGGGTGGTTACTGGAGTAGATTATACCGGTGCGCCCTATGATGGAAAATCGGAGACCAAGGTTCTCTGTATGCCTATTCACGTGTGCTGCTACCAGAGCTATTCATCTCGAGATTCTGATCTATCAACAGAGGAATTCGTTCTGGCATTTCGCAGCTTTGCTGCTAGACGATCTACACCCAAAGCAATGGTATCAGATATGCCACTACGTACCAAGCTGCAGCTGATCAACTGAAGAAAATGCTCTATTGACCCAAACTAAAGCAAGCACTTGGGAAGGAAGGTGTAACATGGAAGTTCATCCCAAACGAGCTCCCTGGTACGGTGGGTTCTGGGAAAGACTGATTGGACTGACCAAAASAACATTGAAAAAGGTCAACTTAACAGCCCTCCAAACCATTGTCGTAGAGATAGAAGCTATCCCCAATGACCATCCCCTTACACACGCATCACCTGACTTAGACGATGAACAGCCACTCACACAGTCCCATCTGTTATATGGTCGGAGCATTACAGCACTTCCCCACCAAGATACAGACACTGACGCACTTACAGATCCTACCTACGGTGAAGACGAACTGAGACAAAGTGCTGCTCGAGTGGCACTACTGGTTCAACACTTCTGGCAGTGCCAGAGGCAGGACTACCTCACTTCATTAAGGAAATTCCATGGAGCGACAGGCGCCATTGGAGGAACAAGGGTCAAAGTAGGAGATGTTGTTAAGATCCACAGCGACAGTCACGTCTCAAATAGACACTGGGCGTAATAGTCGAGTTTCGCGATCTCTTTTACGCTGTGTTAGCCTCAATTGTGTGCTAAAGTATTCTGATATGTAGATAAAACTCGTCAGATTTCAAACTATTTCTATTGTCTTCTATACTCACAGATCTCTTGAATTTGCACGGGCTGTTGCGAATAAAATAATTTATTACATGGTTTTGAGGCTAACACAGCGTAAAAGAGATCGCTAAAAGGGTTTATTGAAGAGCTTATTGTAGGAGCTGATGGTGGTATTCGAGCTGTACACCTGCGTACCTCAAAGGAACACACAAACAGACCTGTAAGCAAGCTGTATCCACTAGACATCAACACAGGTTATACGGATGACTGCGAACCAAACCTGCAATCAACGGAGGATGGACCCTCAGATCTTGGCCGATGACAAAGCGTCAGAGCAGCGTCAACAGAAGCTAAGGGTCGCATTGTGSATTGGGCCCGACAACTCTGCGGCCCCCCGGAGGATGTCTGAACTCATATATTCAAACACTGATTCATTGTATCAGAAACATATTAACGTGATATATCTATATCAAGAAGTCTGTTGATTAATTAATTAGTTCAGGTTTCGCATGCTTGTAATCTCTGTAATTTGAGTAACCCTTTTGGGGGCGTATTCTTGTGAGTCGTTCTATTAGTTGTGCAATAAATCTCATGTCGTCGTTATCGTTGTCTTTCTCCTCCATTTCTACTCCCTTTAACCGAACCAGTCAAGACATTTGCAACAGAATGGGGATTCAACCAATGCCCAGGAAGTCCTGGACACCAACAATCTAAAGGACAGGTCGAAGCCTCTGTAAAAGATGCTAAAAGACTTCTAAAGAAAGCAAAGACTGGAGTTGATGTATATTTAGCCTTGCTGGATCTTCGCAATATTCCCACAGAGTCTATGGGCACTAGCCCAGCTCAACAACTGCTAGGCCGAAGGTGGAAGACTTGACTGCCGACAACCAAGCAACTTCTTAKGTAACAAAGCCGAATGTTGGAACAACTGTTATAATTTCAATTAATAGAAATGGAATAAAGACCGAAATAAGGGACTTGTCAGAAATTAGCTGGGGGAGAGGAGGTGGAAATTTAAAAGTGGGAACCGGGAATAAGGTGGCCTGTCACAGTAGTAGAAGTGAAATTTCCTAACCCTTCCTAACTCTCCCTAAAATATCGTGCCCTTACCCTCTCTACCTTCATCCACTGTCACMACAATTTATCATTGCCCCCAAGCAGGCAGTGTAAGTGTAATTATGGTGTAAGGCCTATAATTGGACCATTGTTTCTTCATTTTTGAAGGGATAAGGATATTAACAATGGTCTAATTATAGCCCCTTTACCATCACTGGCTGCTTGGGGGCAATGATAAATTGTTGTGGTAACGGTTGAAGGGGGAGGCCTGGGAAGGGTCACAATATTTTGCCTGTCTGATATAGGGAGGCTTAGAACAATTTACTTCTACTACTCTGGTATGTCACTTTATTCCCAGTACTTACTTTTCAATTTCCACCCTCCCTCCCCTCTGCTAATTTCTGACTAGTCCCTTATTTCGGTCCTTATTCCATTTCTCTTGTTCCATTCATTGAAATAACAGTTGCTCTGACGATTTTTCAAAAGAAAAATCGATTTCCTGACGTTTAGTTCTGGGGCTAAACTTCAGGCTGCCTGACGTTTAGGCACTCCAATTAT